TATCAATCCCTTCCACTTCTCACTTTTCTCATTATGAAAAGTTCACTAAGAACTGCAATAGATTTTCATAGTTTCGTGTAATAAAGTCTCCTTTACTTAATGTTATACTATTTTCTGCAAAAGCTGTTACATACAAGTATTGGGAAAATTCAACTGACTGTTAGGTCAGAGTTGAGTTTCATTCTCCCATTTATGAAGTAATGTTGATATAGCGAAAATGTCATTATTTTGTCTGAGAATGTTTTGCATGCTATCTGCGTGAGACATGGTTAGATGTTTCTCACATGACATCTGATCTAAACTTTGAATCCCCCTGATCTTCTCATATATTTTCCTCTGTCTTTGTTTTTAAAATAATGTTTAATGACACACCTTATGTTCTTGGGGAAAACAAGAACATTTCAAGTCAACAGAAACAGATGTAAAGAAATAAGATCAGGGTAGAAAATAGTGAAAACAAAACAGGAATACAAAATGAGAAAATAAGATATAGAACTGGTTCTTTAAAAAGATGAGTAAGATAAATAAGCCCTTAGTGAAACTAACCAACTGAAAAGGAGAGACAATTGAAATTAATGAAATTGAGAAAAAATGAAATATTACTTCAGATGCCAATTAAATTCAGAAAATCAGAAGGGCATATTTTATAAGTTAATATTCTATTAAGTGGAAAAATGCAAAAGATATTAGTGAATTTCCAGGTATTTCTGATCTATCAAAGTTTAATACACTTAGATAAAGAATAAAAGTGAGATGGAATTGGTACTACATCAACCCTAAATGTACAGACTCAGATAGATTCAGTGCAGAATTCTACCAGGCCTTCACAGTCGAACTAATAATAGGTTTTGTCAAGTGACTCCCTAAAATAAAAAATGAAAAAATACTTTCCAAGTCATTTTATGAAGCTTACCCTGACACCAAAACATGGTGTGGGACAATGGCCTGTATTCTGTCAATTATATTTTAAATAAACGCTGATTGGTCAGTAGCCAGGCAGAAAGTATAGGCAGGACAACCAGACAGGAAATAGAGAAAGGTCAATGAGAACAGGAGAATTCTGGGAAGAAGGAAGCAGATTGTACAGTCCTGTCCCAGCCACAGAAGAAGTAAGATGTGACTGCTTCGCTGAATAAGGTACTGAGCCACGTGGCTAGCATAGACAAGAATAATGAGCTAATATCAGTTATAAGGCTTAATAAGAAGCCAATCAGTTTATAACTAATGTAGACCTCTGTGTGATTTCTTTGGGACTTAACAATTGCGGGAACAAGGCAGGACAGGAAACTCAGACAACAAAAATCAGACAAAGACTCATCAATAATAAAAAGATGGGTTACCACAGACATGAGTTAAAGAATACATGAAAACAATTGATCATCAAAATTAATTCAACTTCACTCTAGAGACACAGAGATCATACACAAATCAATAAAATAATACATCACATAAATAAACTCAAGGACAAAATCACATGATCATTTCAAAGAAGTAAGAAATGACCTTAACAAAATCCAACACAATTTCATGGAAACAACCCTGAAGAGACTATGAATGGAGGAGATGTGTCTCAACGTGATACAGACTAAAAGACCTGCAGCCAATATTATTGTACATAGAGAAAAACTCAAGGCAGTTCCACTAAAATTACTGTCAAACCCGGGCAGTCTGCCTCTCTCCTGTTCAGAACAGTCCTTGAGATCTTAGCTAAAGCAGGAAGACAAAGACAGAAGCAGGGCGGTGGTGCACATGCCTTTAATCCCAGCATTCGGCTGGCGGGGGGGGGGGCTAAACATGAAGGGAGAAGTCAGTGTCCTTATGTGCAGATAACAGGAAACCACACATAACAGACTCTAAAGACTCCACCAGAAAATTCTTAGAGCGAACAAACACCTTCAGTACAGTGCTAGGATACAAAATTGACAAACAAAAATCAGTCGATTTCATATAACCAATAAAAAATAGACTGAGAAAGAAATTAAGGAAGCAATATTAACCACAACAGCCCTAGAAGAAGTAAAAACCTCGGATTAAACCTAACCGAGGAAATGAATGCTTCACATTGTAAAAGCTTTAAAATATTACTCTGCTGGTGGAACTGTAAACTGATATAGGAACTGTTGAAATCAGTGTGGTACAAAAGGAATATAAATACTTTTATAAAATATACTTACAAAATATATTTTTAAAAATAATAAGTAGTTTATATTTTATGTAAGTAGGATTTTGTATGTTATATAAATAAATGGAGTTAAAGAAGATCCCAGAAAGAAGATCTCCCATACACGTAGATTGGAAAAATCACTGTTGTGAAAATTGCTGTTTCAAAGTCTATAGGTTCAATATAATCTCTACTAAAATTCCACCATTCTTCATAGAAATAGAAAAATATCTTAAAATTATATTGAAACATCAAAGAACCTGGGATCCCAAATCAACCCTAAGCAGTACACACAATGCTAAGGCTGCATTTCTTGCTGCATTTCAACATATACAACAGAGCCACGGTATTAGAAACATATAGCACTGGAACGGATATAGATATGTAAATCAATGGAATTGGGGGTCAGGATATGCTCACCCATATGGCAGTTCTGATTTACTCCCTGAGAAAGTTCCACACTGATACGACAGCACCTGTATAGTTTACAGTTCACCAGCAGAGAGTAGGGGCCTCGCTTCCCCCACATCCTCACTACCATTTGTTCTCATTTGTTTTCTAAATGGTATCCATTTGTATTGGCGTGAAAGAGACCTCAAATCATTTAATTTGCAAGTTCCTGGTGGCTAAGGATTTGAGCACTTTAAAATTGTTTTTTTAGCCGGGCAGTGGTGGCGCACACCCTTAATCCCAGCACTCAGGAGGCAGAGGCATGCGGATCTCTGTGAGTTTGAGGCCAACCTTGTCTACAGAGTTAGCACAAGGACAGGCTCTAAAGCAACAAGAGAAACCCTGTCTCAAAAAAATATTTTTTAGCGATTGGGTTTTGTTTCTTTTTTCTTTCTTCTCTTTCTTCCTTTGTGTGTGTGTGTGTGTGTGTGTGTGTGTGTGTGTGTTTTTCTGTTGAGAGCTCTCTGTTTATTTCCATAACCTACTCAGTCATTTCATTCTTGATGTCTTCAGGTTTTTCTCTATTCTGGCTATTATTTCCCTGTCAAGGGTGTAACTACTGAGGATTTTCTCCCACACATGTATCAAAGGACTCTGTCTCCTATTACAGAGATACTTGCCCGTCTGTGTTCATTGCTGCTCTAGTTGTAATAGAGGAAACAGCCTAGATGTCCAGTGTTAAATGGAGCTGCTTATGAGTGTAAAGGAAATGTGGCACTGTAATAAACCCATGCCAGGGAAATACAGACCACCACACTAATGGAGACAACTAACCTTACAAAGTTCTTTTGTTTTGACCAGTGAAAAGAGTGGGCTCATGCCTCAAGTGTCCTGTTGCAGAAGGCCAGAGGTATAGCATTTTAAAATCAAAACCTACAATTTCATTGATGTTGGATGAAGAGCAGAGTAACCTTGCATCATTTGTTTTGACAGAACATAGCTATTCAGACACAACATGACAATTCATTTTGACTTACACTTTCTTTAGTTATTTTAGTTTAAGTTTGTATAGCACTAATTATTTTGTTTAATAAATCTGGACCATGATCTTGGGAATCCCAACTCTATTTCGAAGGGAGACATCACTGTTGTGGGGTAGAGGGCTGAGAAGTGTCTGAGCTGACCAAAATGGAGAGAGGACCACATGGCTTTGCCTTTTTCACTTCAGTACAGGTATATGATAGTATTTTATTCAGTTGTAAAGAAAATTAAATTTGTAAAAAAAATGAATGGAACTGGAAACTATTATTCCAAGTGAGGTAATCCAGGCCTGGGAAGACAAATGTTCTCTCTCATATTTGTCCTTCCTTAGAATTTTTAGATTTGTGTATTTTAGCCAATTATACAAAAATAGTTAAAAAACGAATTTGAAGTGTGGTTCTCTGTGTGAGTGGATAACGCTGCTCCCAAAGTCATGGGATCTTAAATGAAAATCACAGCACGAATGTGGAAACCTGCTTACGAGTTGTTGGTCCAGGAACTCCAGGCACCACAGAAGTTTAAGGCAGGGTTGCAGATTCACTTGGGTTAAGAGTAAAGTCAGGTTAGAGTTAGGGGGTGAAGAGAATCAACTTGAAAGTTCATTACATAGCTATCAGATCCTTGGATTTGGAGATATAATTCAATGACATACTTGGGGCACCAGCTCTACTACATAATAGAAGTAAAAACTGAATAGAAATAGACAACAAATGACCGAAGTAGGAATGTGGTGACCTCTGGAGAGGACGGCCATGGTGGAGCTTGAGGGAAGCCCTGTGCTTCTGTCTTTCCTCTGTGTCTCAGTGCTGCTCTCCCCCTTCCCCTTCTCTCCCCACCTCTGTTCTTTCCCAGTGTGAAACTGACTTACTTTTCCACACTTAACATTCTGGTCTGTCTAGTGGTTCTATACTGCACACAGTATGTCATCTGACTGCACACAGTATGTCATCTGACTGCAGGGTAACAGTCTCCACTTAGTGCTCCCTCCTCACTTGTTCTTAAGTCATAGAGTTTGATATTTATCCCAGGCATCCAAGCCCCCAAACCTCCTGTGTCAGCCTCTCAGTTATAGGGATTATAATTGTGAACAATGAATTATTTATCAGTTGGTCTCTTCAGAAACAAAATGAAGTTGTAAATCAATTTATATTAACAACCTCAAATTTTAACAAGTCATATCACATTACTTTCGTTTTCTCTCTTTTGGGGCTCTGGATATTGCCTTCTCATACTCCAGGACCAATGTTGGCCTGACATAGGGCACAGTGCAGATTGCCCAGATTCTGGAAGCTTACCCTGAGCTGGACCACCTCATCCTCAGGGCTCTACTGTGCCGTGAAACCATGCCATGTTAACCACACCCTCCTTTCCCCACCCCATGGCATCCTGACCAGCTCCTTCCTTTCCTATCTTTGCAAGGCACATAGGTCTCCACCCTTGAAGGAGGGCAGCAGAGGTGTTCTGGATGCAGAGGCTCCAGGACAAGTGGGGCAGAAGCCAGAGCCTCAGGCCAGAGCAGCAACTCTTTTCCCATCCTGTGCGCAAGCAGCCTGGGCCCCTGCATCTGACCCTGGTGAGTGTGGGCAGACAGGACTGGAAACTTCTTTGCAACTCATTTCCAAGTGTTAAATGCAAAGTCTTGGTCATGTCACTTGTCTGTAGAGGGTGTGGTGTTCATGGAGGTATAAAGATGTACAACCTCTGACCTCTCCAAATGTGTGAAGGTGAATAAGGTTGATGGTGTCAGGTAGGTAAAAGTGTTATCAAGTGCAAAAGAAATTTGTTAACACTGGCAGTGTAAGGGACCTGAACAATTTATTCTTTTTATTTATCGCATAATTTAAAATTTGTCCAAAATCTCTAGCTTGGTATACAGATATTCATCAACTCCTTAAATTTCTTACTCAGAAAGTTTGAACAGATGGAATAATTAAAAGTCAAAACAACTAGGCTGTAAACTTTCCAATGGATTATGTATCTATAAAGCTATCTTCTTTTGTTTTTCTGTGTAATACTAGAAATGTAATCGCTGGTCTAGTTTAGGAAGACAGAAAGTTTAATAGTAACACATATTCATTAAGCACCTGCTTCTAGGCCTAGTGTTTGCATAGAAGAGCCCTTCCTACAGTATTAACATACTCCTCTCTCCATCAGTGCATTCTCTTCTATCAAAGTGTATTAAAACACACACATACATAGAATCCATTTCTTCACTTAACTGTGGCTAACCATCTGTGAAGCATTTGAAGGGGGGATAAATATGGTAACAAAAATGTAAGCATCAGAAAGAAGAAAAATGACCAACATTTTGAGGTTTGTTCATTTCACAAAGGCTTCTTTTTAGGCAAAGTTAGGAGAATTCCATGGAGGAGACATTAATCTGGGGGCTGATAGGTGGGTTTAAACAAGAAGTTTAAAGCATTGTTAAGTGGCTCTTGTGACTTTCCAGCATCAGGGTGGGGAAGCTATCTTTAGCTAGCCAAAGGTGGTGGGGCACCTGCTGATAAGTTAGACCCTGAGTTGTGGTTTTCCCTGATAACTGCTTACTCAGATCCTACCAGTTCCAGTAAACTGAAACTAAGGCCTGGTTACTGGAAGCGTTACTACAAGAATTTGTCAGTGCCTTTCTCTGGCTGCCTGGCTTTCTTAGAAATAAAATACAAGCTAGAATGGAGAATTTTTGTGAGAAAAAACATCAAAGTGAACATAAATACATTTAGGGGCCCTCAAAGCTGAATTGAGTTACATTTAAGTGATTTATTCAGTTTTATTTGATGTGCATGAGTGTTTTGCTTGCATGTATGTAAGTGCACTGCTTGAATACCTGGTGCCCCTGGAGGCCAGAGAGGCCACTGGATCCTTGGAACTCTCCAGTTCCAGACAGATGGAAGGCCCCTATGTAAGGCTGGGAGTGTAACCAGGTCCCCTGCAGGAGCCGGGTGTGCTCTTAATTGTTGAGCCATCTCTCCAGTCCCTTAAGTTGCATTCCTGAGACCATAGCAAGAAGGGCGATCAGCTTCACAGCTCAGGAACAAGAAGGGACATAATGACTTTTCAACAAAACTTTTCCTGGCCTTTGCTTTTGAGGGAACATCTCTTAGGTGCGTCAATTTGGAATGTTGAGGTGACTTGAAGGAAGGCTATGCCTGGTACCATCCCATAATGCCAGCAGCAGTGCCTTTGCTAAGGTAAACTGTAGCTGTCATTCTCCTTACCCTGTTACAAACATCTTGATGAACAGGTCTTACTTAAAGTAAGCCTAGGTTTTCTATGGGTTATGTGAATTTCATGTTCTCTAAGTGTTTGGAAAATACTTACCTTAGAGCCACATTTCATATCTTGTGAAGTTGACGAGTGTGTATGATCAGCTTAGGGAAGTTTTTTTCTGACACCTCAGATACTTTAGTTGACTATTTTTGATTTAAGTTTGGTCATCTTTGAAAATCGTATGAAGTAAGAAGTCTCAGAACCAGCTGCTTGAGGAAAGTAATTAGGAATGAGATGGATGATGAAAATGAAAGAACTGGAGCATCTACTTTGCACACGCGCATGCACACATACACACATGCACACACACATATTCACAGACATGCTAAAACACTCTCACACACATGCTCACACACACATATGCTCATACATGCGATATTGGTACAGAGAAAATTAAAATTTCTTTTCCGTGAAGATTACTTCAAGATGTGAAAAAAATTAATAGTCTAGATGACTTTAGCTATACATTTTTTCTCTTCAGCAATAGCTTTATTGTAGTATAATTAACACCACACACCTCACCGACTTCCAGTGCACAACTGTGTGACTTCCAGTGCACAATTGTGTGGCTATGGGAATATTCAGAGGTGTGCAAGCATATTTCCATAATCTACTCTGCTTATTTAAATTCAGAGATATTTTCCCACAGGTTCTCTCTGGTATTTTCAGTGTATGTTTGCAGGGGATGAAGGGAACATTGGGAGTGTTCATTGTGTGTGGAGATCTCAGGATAACCTTTGAAAGTCTTTTCTTCCAACTTGTTGAGGCAGTCTCTCCTGTACTTTGTTCCAGGCTGGGTACTCCAGGTTAGGAAGCCCTTCAACTTCCAGGTGATTCCCCTCTGCTGGAAGTATAAAGTCAAGCCTCTGTAGTCCCTTTTCGTATCTTTCTTGGATTGAACTCACGTCTCCGATCTTGTACAGTCAGCACATTTACATGCAAAGATATCTTGCAGGACCCTGGTTGGTTTTCACAGACCTTTTCTTGTTATGTGGTTCAAAGAACCAAATCCAGAGGCTTCCATATGTTAGGCAAATGCTCTGCCAGCCCAGTGTGATTTTAAACATGGTGGTGTTTCATCCACTAATAGGGTAATTTGACTTTTTCCTTCCCTGATTTTTTTCTTCCTTCCTTCCTTCCTTCCTTCCTTCCTTTCTTTCTTTCTTTCTTTCTTTCTTTCTTTCTTTCTTTCTTTCTTTCTTTCTTCTCCTTCCTTCCTTCCTTCCTTCCTTCCTCTTTCCTCCCTCCCTCCTCCTTCTCCTCCTCCTCCTCCTCCTTCTTCTTCCTCTCTCTCTCTCTCTCTCTCTCTCTCTCTCTCTCTCTCTCATCTAAATTTTCTGTAAACAAAAGCTCTGTATTAAATAATAGTTGAGGAATGGCTACCCTTGGCTCTATCCAGTATTGAGAGGAACTAATCTGAGTTATTCCCTATTCAGTATAATGTGGTTGGTAGGATTTTCACAGCCCTTTATTGTGTGCAGGTGTGCTTTCTCTTCCTGGTTTGTTCAGGACTGTAATCAAGAATGAATTAAGTTTTCCAAAGACTTCTCCATTTACTGACATTCTGATCTGGTAGAATAAAAGAAATTTTCTTTTGATTGTTAAAACTTGCTTTACAGCTTAAGATATGATCTTTCTTGGCAAAACATCCCCAAGCTGCTAAGGAGGATGTGACTTCAGAGATTGTATCAAATATTTTGTGGAAGTCTTGTGAGTCCATTTAATCTATGGACTTCAGAGATTGTGTGAAATATTGTGAGTTAATTTGATCTATAGCACAGTTTAACTCTGAAGTTTTGTTGACATGTTTGCATCTGGAGAATCTATTGATCATAGTGGGGCATTAAAGTCAACTCCCATTCTTGCTTTGGCAGCACCTATTCTAAACTTTGACTGATACAGAGGTGATTAACATGGCCCCCATATCAGGATAACACACAAATTGGAAAACAATTCTATATTTTTATGATAAAATTGATTTGATAGGAGAAAAAGTGACTCTCCTCAGGAAAGGAAGTTGGAGGTAAATACAGGAGGAGAGAAGCATGTAGAATAATAAAAATATGAATGGATGAAAAAGCCTCAAGAAATCACACTATTAACAATCTACCTAAACACAGTAAAACCTATAACGGCCACAATTCAGTATATGCATATACATATATAATTTTAATAAACCTTTCTCATCTAGGTTGGTGGTCCCAACGACCACCTAACAAAGAAAAATACCAGATATGAGAAGCCCTCTTTTGAGTTGTGGCCAAGTAATCTAAGAGATTCCTAAAGTTATTGCATTTAGTTACCCCAAGAGTGGGAAGGTAAGTCCCTTAAGCTTCAGGCACAGGGTCTAGAGATCCCTGGACTAGAATTGAATTGGATGATCCCCACTGCTCTGAGGACTATTTTTCATGGAACTAGAAGGCACAAAGAAAACTTCCAAAGGAGAGAGGCCACGATAGTTCTGCCTATCAATGACCCTCATGAACCACATCAATGTGCAATAGCCCTGGGACTGCAGTAGTGGCACAAATGCCTTGGCAGTGATTGAGATGATTTGAGAGAAAATGGCCTTCAAAAGAATTGACATTATTAGTAGGTATGGCCTTGGTTGTAGGAGGCCACTTGTATGTTCCCAGCTTCCCAGAACCACACAGAAACTTTATAAATTAAATCACTGCTTGGCTAATTTCTTAAGTGTATTGCTAGCTATCTATTTTATCTACAATTAACCCATTTCCATTATTTTATATTTTGACATGGGGGTCTTGTCAAACTGGTAAGGTTTCAGCTGGCAGTTCATGTGTTTCCCCTGAGGTGGCACCATGGTGTCTTTTGACTCCACCTTCTTTCTCCCAGAATTCAATTTAGTTTTCCCTACCTAGCTCTATTCTGCCCTACTATAGGCCCAAAGTAGTTTCTTTATTAATCAATGATAATCACAGCATACAAAGGGGAATGCCACATCACCTCCCTTTTTCTGTTTAAATAAAAAGGAATCTTTTAACTTTAACATAGTAAAATTACATAAAACAAAACAAGTATCAAGCAAGAATTACAGTTACAATATTTGTATCTACTTTATCCTTTATCATTACTAAGGAAAACTATAAGTATCTATTCTTCAACTCCATCAAAGACTCCAGAAGGATATAATATTACCTAAGTAAACAGAAAATACATTGTAAGCAGCTTCCAAAACTCTAGAAATGACAGAGACATCTCGCTGTCTGGATGGTCACCCAAAGTTCTTCTGTATCACTGGGGCATCCATCTTCTGCCTACAGGCTGATAGCGTCTGACAGACTTTTTCATGAAGCAGGAAATTTCAAAGTCAGTTCTGCCTATATTGGCAGTTTGTCAGTCACTTTTTTTCTGTGTCGTGCAGAATATTTAATAGACTCTTTCATGAAGCAAGAACCCTGAAGGATCATCTCAGCTTCTTTAAACAACTTTAGCAGTCATTTTTCTGTGGGTTCTGCATGTCCAGTTCACACAGCATAACATCAATCAGTACAGGCAAGAACAGTTTCCTGCTCAGATGGCTAGCAAACTCTGCAAGAAGCCTCTTTGATGACCATCATCCTCCTGTAGTAGACTGGTGCTGTCAGAAGCAGATGTGTCTCATGGTCATGAAAAGTCCTAAGTTTCTAAATATTTTAAATGCCATATTTTGTAGGTCCCTGAAATATTTGAAAAATACCTAATTAACCAGAATATATTTAACTAACATGACTACAAACTTGACTATTACAGATGATTATCTATTAACCTATTTTTTTAAAATTATACATTACTGTTTCTTGGTTTTTCAAGACAGAATTTTTCTGTAGCTTTTGGAGCCTGTCCTGGAACTAGCTCTTGTAGACCAAACTGTTCTCACGCTAAGAGAGATCCACCTGCCTCTGCCTCTGCTGGGCTTGAAGGCATGTGCCACCACCTCCTGGCATGCTATATTTTTAAATGAGCTGCACAAACACAATACTTTAATCAAGAACAGAAATACATATTTGCAGCATAACAAAATTGACTTTAAATTTGTATTAATAAACAAAAATCCATACCAATGCAAACCTGTTTATTATATCCCCCATTAAATGTAAACAAGCATTTATAAACAATATTTGGGTTTATTGGTGTGGTTCTCTCCAAATTGCTTCCTGCTTTTTGTTGGGCAAAGTATTTTTGGGGGTGTATTACCTCTACTTCCTGTCTGGCTTTCCTGCCTATACTGCCTGCCTGGCCAGTCAGCGTTTTATTAAAATATGATTGACAGTGTTCCACATTGGAACACTGGACTTAACTCTGTAAGTCCAAACGAGAAGCGGAAGGAAAGAGAACGTGAGCAAAGAAGGCAAGACCAGAGGGAACCTTGATCCGACGATGGATGGCGATATAGACGGAGACCCACATTGGAGCACCGGACTGAGTCCCCCAAGGTCCAAATGAGGAGCAGAAGGAGGAAGAACATGAAAAAGGAAATCAGGACCATGAGGGGTGCGATCACCCACTGATACAAGGGGACTGATCTAATGAGAGTTCACCAAGGCCAGTTGGACTGGGACCGAATGAGCACGTGATCCAACCAGATTCTCTGAATGTGGCCGGATTCTCTGAATGTAGCTGGCCAGGAGTCTTTCTGAAAAGTCATTGACAATGACACTGGGACTTGTTTCCTCTGCATATACTGGATTTTTTGGGATCCAGTCTGTTTGGATACTCACCTTCCTGGACCTGGAGGGAGGGGGGAGGAACTTGAACTACCCACAGGGCAGGAAACCCTGAATGCTCTTAGGGATGGAGAGGGAGTGGGGAGAGTGGGAGGGTGTTGGGAGGGGGGCGGAAATAGAAACTTTTATAATTTAATAAACTTTGAAAAAAATATGATTGACAGAATACAGACAATTCTCCTGCATCATTTCCCTTTTTTTTTTAAACAAAGGAAAATACCCATAGTCCATTTATTGGGAATGTGGGCATAGTATTTCAGGCTACTTCCTGCTGGTTGGGGGCACTGATAATCTTATGGGGACCTAAAGAAAATTTTAAATTATCATCAAGTCCTGACTGGAGTATCCTGTGAGTCTTGATCATCTCAGGCAGCAGTCTTGAACCTGTTCTGGATGAAGAACTCAGACATCTGGGCCATCTGTTCCTGTCGGAGATTTCTCAGGTGGCCTTCCTTGATCATACTGGATTTTTCTTAACTCAGAATGAATCCACAACCTCTCATTTTCTGTGGAAACAAAAGCAAAATCTCTTCTCCAAAGTAACAAACTTTTTGACTTCAGTTTTGAAGCCAAGGTATTTTCAAAATACCTATCTTGGGTTAGTTCAGCAGTATTTATAAACAAAAGTCTTTTAGTAGCTGTTGCTCCTTCCTCAGCATTCAAACAACTCAAAGAGAGCATAATAGCATAAAGTATCAAGATTTTCTGTGTATTTTCCATCTTTATTTTAACCTCTATTTCTTTTATTTTTACTTTTTACTTTTTGAGACAGGTTCTCTGTATATCTTTGTCCTGGAATAACACTGTAGACCAGGCTGTCCTTGAACTCAGAAATCCTTCTGTCTCTGCCTCCCCAGTACTGGGATTAAAGCTGTATGCTACCACACCTTGAACTCACAGAGATCTGTCTGTCCCTGCGTCCCAGGCATTGGGATTAAAGATGTGCACTACTACACCTTGAAGTCACAGAGGTCAATATACCTCTGCCCCTTGAAGTCACAAAGGTCAATATACCTTTGCCTCCCAGGCATTGGGATTAAAGGCGTGTGCTACCACACCTTGAAGTCACAGAAAGTCAATCTCTACCTCTGTCCCTTGAAGTCACAGAGGTCAATATGCCTCTGCCTCCCAGGCATTGGGATTTAAGATGTGTACCACCACACCCAACTACTCTGTTTCTTCCTTTTTTTACATTAAGAACTTTAACTTTTGGCCTGCATATATTTTTAACACACTGTAAACCAGTTAGAGGTTTTCTTTCTCTTTGAATCTCTCTTTACTGTATATCTCTCTTTTTCTCACCACAAACTTGTAGTCATGTTTAGTAGGTCACATAGAGATATTTGCAATTGTCTCAAATGCTGATAATATGTTGTTCAAATTGGACAAGTAGGGCACAACAGAAGGTAACTGCTGAATTTTGCCATCTCAGTGTAGGACAGTTCTTCCAAAACTCCTGATTCACAGACAAATTTGTCAGATATTTAGGCCTATAGGCTGAATATGGATGGCACAGTGTTGCAGATAAACCTTGGGTGCCTGTCAAGACAGACAGCTGCTTCTCTCATTTCTATAGTTTTGGAAGTTGTTTGCTCTGTAATTCCTGTCTACTCGGGTAATAAGATATCCTTCTCCAGTATCTAATGGGATTGTAGAATGTATGATATAGTTACTTTTTCTTGTTACTAAACTCAGAAAAGAAGCTCACAAAAGAACTTCAAAGTGTATAAGATTGAGAGACATAAAAGTTTAAGTTGTTTATCTAAGAAAATGTTTTTAGGTCTAAAAAGATATTTTTTTAGAGTGGTAATACAAATTATGATAGAAAATAGGTTAGTTATAAAACTTTGAAATCACCAAGACAGGATAGCTAATAGAGTATTGTCTTCAAGTTTGCCAAATACAAATGGATTTGACATTGGGAATATAATCCACACCTGATAATTTTTCTTATTGTATATAGGTATACTGTTTTAAAGTTAAAACCATTTCCTTTTTATTTAAAGAAAAAAGATAAAATATTGTGAAATGTTTGATCACACTGTGAGAAAGGCACCTTCGGATTGATTTAGTAAAGGGCTGAATTGTGAATAGCTAGGCGGGAGAGAATAGGCAGGACTTCAGGTAGGAGAGGAACTCAGGGTTATAAATCTAGGTGTGGGAGAGATGTTAGCAAGACACTGAGCAAGTCAGATGTACAGAATGAAAGAGAGGTACAAAGACATGTGGCAGACAGTAGATGAATAGAAACAGGTTAATTTAAGTTATTAGAGCTCATTGGGAAGAAGCCTAAGATAAAGACCAAGTTTTCAAAAATAAGTAGTCTCTGTGTCCTTATTTGGGGTCTGGCGTTCCAAGAAAGTCCTACTAACTATACCAAAAAAATCTCATCAACACGACTGCTCAGACATGGGCTGAAGAAGAGGACATTCATGATTATAACCACGGACATGGAGAAAAATCCAGAAGGCCTCAGTTCTACACAGAAAACTACAGGCAGCTGAGAAAAGCTGGGAGAAGGAAAAGTGTTCTTCCCCAGGTATTAGCTGAATGTTCTGCCTGGCCTGATTCTGCAGTTGTTAAATCCCAAAGAAATAACACAGAGATCTACATTAATGTTAAACATCTTATTAATTCTTATAACTTATATTAGCCCATAATTTTTTCTGTGTTAGCTATGTGGCTTGGTACCTTTTTCAGCAAGACACTCACACCTTGTGTCCTCTGCAGACTGAAACTTCCCTCTTCGCAGAATTCTCATTGCCCCGCTTCTATTTCCTGTCTGGCTACTGGCCAATCAGCGTTTTATTATAATTAATACAAGTGACAGGATAAAAGGCCATTGTCCCACAGCACCCAGAGAGGAGCACACAAACTGGTTGTTGAGTGCCAAATGGTCAGCCCGGAAAACTTACATACAACAGTATATGTACTCATCAGGTTATATGTGCAAATAAATGTGCATGTGCATATATATGTATATATTCAATAACATTGCTCTCATGGCTTGCTCAGCCTGCTTTCTTAACCATCCTAGGACCCCAAAGTGGCCCAGGTCCTCCCACATCAATCAAGAAAAGGCCCCACAGATTTGTCAATCTGATAGAGGCAATTCCTCAACTAAGGATTCTTCTTCCCAGATGACTCCAGTGTGTGTCAAGCTGACGAACAGTTAACTAGCACACTTCCTCTGTTACTATTCCTTAGAACTATTGGAGTTATTTTCTCCTGAGCTCTTGTGATCCTAACTTTCTGTCTTCTTCCTTTGTGTTTTTATTTTCCTGTGAGTGTCTTCTTCACTGCTCCCTCTGTGGTCATGCATTACTTTAGCTGTGTCCATCTTGAAGGTCTTTATAAAGACAAATTTGTATGTAGTCACATTGTCTGTCAGTTCTTTTCTTTGAGGGCTCAAAATACATAGTTGTGCCCTCTGACCTTAATCATTTCTGTCAAGGAACGTGCTGCTTTTCTGATGATTTTCCAATCAGGTCCATGTTAGTAACTTGGCTCTTCTCTGTAGTCCCTTTCAGCATTCTTTTCTCATTCTTCACTCTTTGAATTTTACTAAGAGTGTGATATGACAAGAATATTTTCTGGTCGTATCTATATAGTGGTTTAAATGATCTCTGTACCCAGGTATACTTATCTTTCAATAGATATAGGCTATTTTGAGATATTACTTCAATGAATAGATTTTCTATGTCTTTTATCTCTACTTCAGCATTCTGATAATTTTTAATTGATTTTATTGAGCTCTACATTTTTCTTGGCTCTCCTCCCTTTTTCTACCCTCTGCTTCAACCCTCTCCCATGATCCCCATGCTCCCAATTTACTCAGGAGATCTTGTCTTTTTCTACATCTCATGTAGATTAGATCCATGTATGTCTCTTTTAGGGTCCTCATTATTGTCTAGGTTCCCCGAGATTGTGAATTGTGGGCTGGTTTTCTTTGCTGCATGTTTACAAACCACTTATGAGTGAGTACATGTGATAATTGTCTTTCTGACTCTGGGTTACCTCACTCAAAATGATGTTTTCTAGCTCCATCCATTTGCCTGCAAAATTCAAGGCCTTGTTATTTTTTCTGCTGTGTAGTACTCCATAAAATGTTTCTGTTTTTTCTGTATGTCTTGTCTTAGAGGTCATCATAAGTTTTTCTTTATTCATCTGTGAAAGCAATAACTCAATAACCTTGTCTTTGAAGCCCTGGTATTTTTACTTCCAGTTAATTTAGTCTGTTGGTGATTTTTACTCTTTAATTTCAAAAATTTATCTGCCAACATTTTCAAAATTTACTTAAAAATCTCCCTATATTTATTATTCATATTCTATGTGTTTTGCTTATTTCTGTCAGTTGTCTATATTTTTGAAGAGTAATCCTTTCCAAGTTAACCTCCTGAGCAATTTCTCCAGTGCCCTACCTAATTAAATATATTTTGATTCAGTTCCTGACACTTAAAGATATTTTGAGAAAGTGGTGAGACCTTGTTTCCTTTTGGTGGTTGGTACATCTGTGGGAGTGTGTTCTACACATTGATGTGACGATGTGTACAGTGAGCATTCATCTGCCCAGATCTAAATTCTCAGCACTAGTCACGATGGAGAAAATAAACCTCAGAAATAACAATACCAGAGTCATCTTCCCCAGAGTTACCATAATGGGCATAATGAATATAATGTGCAAAGCTAATTTCTAATATAACGTGAAGTTAGCAACTAGTAAAGGTTAAGACAATCATGAAAAATAATTGAATAAAGAATTGTGAAAAGGAAAGGATAGAAAAAATAAAAGGAGAAGAGGAAACGAGCAAGAGATTAGAAACAATGTAGTTACAAAGTTTAAAAAGTGTAAATAAAATAGATAAAGTGCAGGCCTGTGATCCTGACCCAGGAAAGGTGAGGCAGGAGGATTGCAAATTTGTGGCAAACCTGAACCATCCATGTGGACCCTGCCTCATAGTCAATAATGGCAAGATTAAGTAAGCAAGACACAGAGATTTTTTTAAAGATTAAAAGCTTTTTAAATCTTCAAAATAATAAAAACATTGTGTTATATGAAAATTACACACATCGCTTTAGTGTCTGGAAGCAGAGACTTGGAGGAACCTTTCTCTTGATGCTCTCATATAATTGCCCAGGCCTGGGGGCATCAGGGTTGTAGTTGGTGTGTATTGTCGCTCTCTGTGCTACCTTCCAGGTTGGTGTTGTGTACAGTACACAGGTGTTTTAAGTAACAGAGCGTCATTTATGTGAAAGACCTCCCGTCTCTGTATAATCCTCTCCACGGCTAGCTCCAGAGGTCTTTGTGGCTAGTAGTTCAGGTAGGTCCTTCTGTTTGTAGGTTTGTCTAAACAAAGCAGTGTCTCCTGGATGTTTTGGGGGAAGTGGGATGACAAACAGAGCTCAGAGGTCTGCAGTGGAGAGAGGTCCTGGGCGATGAGCATTTTCAGATCCTATCCAACAGCAAAGCACTATTCAACAAGGAAAAAGCTGTGGGAATTGAGTGATCATTTTACTCAGGTTCACAGTTCTCAACCCTTGTCTGCTGCACACAAATTGTACCACGAGTCAGTTTCAGAAATCAAAGAATATGGCTGGCACCTGCTCAGAACTCTCAGGCTCTGCTGTCATCCAGAGGAGCCAATGTCATTCTGGTTACAGGAGGCAGGGCTGCCTGTCCTCATGCCTCCACGGCCTGAGCTATGAATCTGTCTGCCAGTCACTCCCTCCTGCACTACTATCCCTCATGACTGCCTACCCACCAGGGCATCCCAGGGCACCATGACATGTGCTAGATGATTTTGGGTCCCCACCACAGCTCAGACTCAGAGAACAGAAGCTCCTGGTTCTAGTACTGTGAGAGACGGGGTGTGGAGAGCTCGGGCTGTGCCCATCTGTGTTCCTTTGTATTACATAGGACAGGAGTTTTCAGTGTGTGCCTTGCCCTGAGTGACTCCATTTATATGGCAGTGGTTTGCTTCATTTTGAAAACAAATGCTGAGGAAAAATGCCTCTGTACCTTATCCGTGCAAGTGCCCAGCACAGAAATAAGATATAGATTGATAAAGGACTTATTAATATAAGTAAATATTTCCTACCTATAAACATATCAAGTCAGGAACACCTAATCCCACAGATGTTTGAAGACCTTCTCTGAGAAACCAAGCTTGTGTGCTTGTTCAAAACACCAGAGCAATGAGCGTTGCAATGCCCTCACTTGGATCATAGCCACTGAGTCAGCATCAGCCCACCCCATAGATGCATCACCAGATACAAGGCAACAAACTCTCGGCTTTGTCCCTAGGACTTCTGCTCACATGATCAGCCTAAATTTAAGTGTCTCACCTGAGCTCCCACTTGTGCTTGGAGTCAGTTCTGTGCTTTGAAGCAATCTGCTCCGTGAACCATCTTTGTATTTGTAACTGACACTACCTTCAATCAACTATGTATTTTGGTCACCATGTTACAGAACAGCTCTCTCTCTCTCTCCATGTGTATCTGCTATTTGACTCTGCCTTTCACAATCCACATTTCTACACACCTGTGCATGTGCTCTCCCTGCCAGACATGTGCTCATGTATTTTACCTCTAAACTTACATAGTATTCCAATATGCTTTTGAGGTAAGACAAATATACCCCTTTACTTGTCCCCTTCTTTCTTTATGAATTATGAATAATATTTATATTCTGCTACTTAGGGCTCTTTTGTTTCTCAGGAATTTGTTATTTACAGGGAGTCTATGTCCTCAGTTAATTCTGCTTCTCATTGGGTTCTTAGGTGATCACAGCAATATGTACTGCTCATCAGTGAGGAATCTGTCTATGACTGTACAGTTTAAACAATCATTAAGTGTGCTGCTCTGTGTAATAATGTTGTTTTATGGACCGTCAACTTACTATTGCTGTTCCTTCTACAGGAAGGAAGAACCTCTCAATATGTCTTCCAATAATGACTCTGTTGTAGTCTCAGTGACAGGAGGAAATTCCAGTGACCTTCCAGGAAATTCCAATGACCCACACACATTGACTGGAGAGGCTGTGTTAAGTTTTCATAACATCAACTACCAAAAAACAGTGCAGCATGGCTTTCCATTTTGTAAAAAAACACGTGTGGTAGAAAGACTATCAAATATCAGGTATGTGCATGAAGCAGAATCCACTGCATTGAACAAGTTTTCAAAACACAGAATGTCTCTATTATCTATAAATTCTGTGTTTAAGTGTATATATATATATATATATATATATATATATGTCTATATATGTGTGTAAGTATGTATGTGTGTATATTCACATGTGCAGATGGATGGATGGATGACACACCAAGATACAATACATAAGAGGACAGCCCTGAGCACTGGTCTTCAGCTTCTACTGTGGTGCAGACCCATTCCCTCATTCTTCACTTCAGTGTGTGCCAGGCCAGCCGTCTGCAAGTCCTGTTAAAATCAAGGGATATGAGAAATATTGCAAATTTAAATTCTACAAATTTGAAATTAAGGAATGGTGCAGACATGCAAACACACATCTGCTCCCAAAACTGAACTGAGAGTTTAGACCAGGCTGACTGGGTCAGTTACCAGTGATGAGATGGAAGCAATGAGAAAGTCCCAACAACAGAAAGTCTGGGTTCTCAAATATTTACTCAAAATTCATTAAGAGCTAAAACCAACATTCCACACATTGTTCTTTGACATAGAGAAAGCATGTTTACAACCAAATTCTGAGGACAGAGCAAAAATACCAAGATTTCCCCCACACAGTCTGCACAGACTCCTCCCGATCCCAACCATTGGGGATTTTGGACACTGGTCATTTCTGGTCCTCCGTCTAAAACTTTTACCTTTTTCTTATTAAGAGGAGAATGGGTAGGACAAAGGATTGACACATTGTCTATATATGAAATAACAAATGGGAATGTAGCTAAATTTTTTATAATACTATAAGAATATGCCTTTTTCAATCTAAATATTCACTACTCTGAATTAATCAATCAATCAGTTTTTGGGGCATAATTTGTGTTTGTCCTGTATTTATACATCAATAAATAAAGTCCTCTACTTGAGGGATGTTTTCCAATTTTTACTGAGCATATTCTAATCTCTTTATCAGGGAAGGAAATCATTTTGGGGATGCATATTTAGCTTTTCAATGTTGATTAAGGTAGTTTTGTTTTAAGTGTTAAACTTGACAACACTCTCCTATCCTCTGAGTACTTCTTTCTAGACTTTGGATTTCTCCTTAAGATGTATTGATTTTGGTTTGATTCAATTTTAATAGTAATGACACTGCTACTGATATTCCAGGAATCTTTGTGACAGTGTTTGCGAGGCAGCAAATGGGGCTATATGACGACACTGCTCATCAAACATTAACAAGAAGCTCTCATACACTTGACACATAAAGTCCATGTGTGTAATGGGGTCCTTCTGAGAGCCTGATGTTTAGTTCAAGGACACTTAACTTATATGCACCATGTTTCAAAAGGACGACTCCTTAAACAATAAACAACAGGGGGTTTGTGATATCAGAAGCATTTTCTAATGAGTTTCCATTAAAATTCAGCATATTTTTGTAAACAGTAGACTTCTATAAATATTCAAATTTTTTCTTATGAGTTTGTGCTTATTTTCTATTACAATTTCAATAGAATATTCAGCATAGATATTATGCTGAATATATATTTCTATTCTAAAGAAAGCTAATATAAGTTTCTTTAAAATAGAAGTATCAACCAGTATGATTCTGTGTTTACAGTGGGATTATGAAACCTGGCCTCAATGTGATTATGGGACCTCAAGATGGAAGCAGATCTTTGTGAGTATAAGGAAAGTGTATGCAATAAATTTTTATCCATTTTCTGTGCTGTAAAAACTACTTCTATAAGAGCTATTTGAGAACTGCGTGAGTGTATCTGTGAGTGTGTACGTGTGAGTCTGGTCCCACGTGTGGGGATAACGTGCAGGGGAATGGATTCTAACTTTACACCAAGACTAGAAATCTTACTAGGTTACTTTACTGGTAGGAAATGATAGAGTGATTGGCATATGGTGTTAGGTCATATGATTATTTAATGTTGTGAAAATAATATTAGAATTATAAAGAAGAAGCAAAGATTTCTGGGGACAAGGACTCATCACCAGGCCCAAGTCTCAAAATACAGCAGCACATTACCAGTTGGAGTTCCTAAGGTCAGATAGCAGAGAGGGGTGGCCATATGGATCTGTCTTACATTCATAATTCTGGGCTGTATTAGAGCACAAACTGAACAGAAAAGTGTGTGTGTGTGTGTGTGTGTGTGTGTGTGTGTGTGTGTGTATGTGTGTGTGCGCACGTGCATGTGTGTGTACGACTTCAGCCTTTTGATATGCAGAATTATTATTTTGAGCTTCTGAAAGCTGATAGCTGTTACCAAAGGAGGAAGTAAACTTTACAACATATGTAACCCTTGTAGGTTATTGGATGTCTTAGCTGCAAGGAAAGATCCACGTGGATTATCGGGAGATATTTTGATAAATGGAAAACCTCGACCTGCTACTTTCACATGTACTTCTGGTTATGTGCCACAAGTAAGTGCTGGTGGGTTTGTAATTTTATATTTCCCCTGATTCTGTATGGTTAGATGCTCAGCTTATAGATTTGTGCTTTTCTAGTTCATTAGATGACACATTTATAGGCCAAACTTTCTCTACACCAGCTTTTCACAATGACTCATTAACCTGAGACTGACATTATTATGTAGGAAGATGTGGAGAGATTGAAGTATGACATCTATGGCACAGTGCTAGTAATTTGCAGCTGTGATTTATTCTACAGAGGACTAGAGTTGTCCTATTTTACCCTTCCTTCATCTCTCTCCATTGCTTTGAAGATGCCTTCTGCAAATAATTGCAAGTTGCAGTCACCAAAATCCTTCTGCTATACATGGAAGGCAAATGGAAGGGGGTGGAATGATTGCTTCAGGTTCTCTACTTGAAATTAATAATATTGAAATAATATTTTTCAGTAGAGTATTACCTTGTGTTTGTTTTATATGAGGATTAGGTTACATTTGTTAGAATGATTGTTTATCTGATCACTAAATTTCATTGAAATTCCATTTAACCTTAAGAATGACGTGGTGATGCACACGTTGACTGTGAGAGACAACTTAGAGTTCTCAGCAGCTCTTCGACTGCCAATGACTATGACAAGAGAAGAAAAAAGAAGGCGGATTAACAAGGCCCTTGAACTTCTGTGTCTAGATAAAGAGTCAAATGTTAAGGTAATGTGAAGAAAAATCTTGAAAGGCTCAGAGCCAAAAATAAAACATGCTGGTGTTGATAATATGACGTCCCATCTCTATTTTCCTGTAAGCTGTGTGGTCAACGTGGCTTCTCTCTGTGTTGATGAGTAGGTGACTGATTATATGATGTAAAGTGAAAATTAATCTGGGAAGACTCTTTTCTAGAAATGGACTGTGATCCAGCAGGGAAGAGTGTCCCTCACATGGCCATTTCCAAATATTCCTCGCATGAACCTCCGCTTCTCTCATCCTTAAACTCTTGACTCTTCAGAGAATTGGACAAGTGCTTTTTCCTGTTTATTGTCTCTTCCCCTAGAGGACGTGTCCCTTGTTGTTTCAGAGTGTGCTTCTGTACTGACACAGGATGTGAGATGGAGAACTCTGGCTCTGTGTTCACTCTGCATTTATTTTCCTCCAGGGTTGTCCTTGGTCTATTTAGCTTTTACTTCTCACTTGTGTAGCGCTTGCTATCTTCTTTAGTCTTTCTTTTTGTGTTTTTATCTCACCCTGTCTGTGGTGGTCAGGTTTAACTGTCACCTTGACACAATCTGGAATCACCTGGAATCATGTAGAAGAGAGTCTCAGTGAGGAATTGTAGTCAGTTGGCTTGTGGGCATTTCTGTAGATGATTATCTTGATTAAGTAAAGCAATGAAGAAAGACCCAGTCTACTTAGCCAGCTCCATCCTTTGGGTTTGGGTCCTGGGTGTCATGAGAATGGAGAAAGTGAGTTGAACACTGACAGGCATGTGTGCAGTCATCCTCTCTGTGCTCTTGGCTGAATGTAACCAGCTGCATTCGCTTAGCTTTCTGCCTCGACTTCCCTGCAATGATCAACTGTACTTTTAAAACCTTTCATAGTAAACAAGGAGTGTTTATTGTATCCTAGGACTAGATGGAATCCTTGGATATCCTTTTGCCCTCACTTTCTCCTTTTTTATATTCTATCAATACTCATTACCAGCTTCTATGTCAGGTTTTAAATATACAACCTTGGGCAAGAGCAACAAAGAACAGACCTGGTGAGCATTTGTGCAGGATAAGGAGGGGTAATAGACAAGTGATGACCTTCACAGCTGACTATGTAAGAGCTAATTAGTTTCTTACTAACGTATTATAAGAAACTGTTATGTAAGGCTTCATTTCTGAATACGTATTTTTAAACTTTAAAACTTAAGAATATATGCTTATTTTAACAATTCTATTCTTAACTATCAAAATGAGCAAAATCTTGGTGTTCTCAATACTGTCAGGTCTATAACCGTCTGCAATCCCCAATGTTTTTTATTATTACACTGATTATAGAACCTCATCAGGCATTTAGTTTACTGCATGCCTAGAGTTACTCAACCTTCGGGTTGTTTCGCTCCTCTTGTGTCCTCCAAACTGTTCTGCCTCTCACAGTGACAGTGACTCATTGAGAAGACTGTATAGAGATGTCTGTTGAGCAGATATTTGGGAGTATGGATGAAAATGGTCTCCCCAGAATAGAAATCTCATGGACTAACTCCTGTGGTGTCTCCTCCTTGGACGCAGTGAGAAATAGGAAGGTCATGGCTATTAATTTCCAAGATACCTCTCCACTGTCATTTATGAGATGTTTGTCTTGTTGGGAAGGATAAAAGAAAATCTGACATTAACCACATTTTCTTTTTTCCTGAACGATGGATTTTTTTTTGTGTTTTGAAATGTTTATTACACAGTTTTATATTTACAATAAAATTCTTTTTGTAATGTTTTTTAACAATAATTAGCCATTTCCCTAAAACAAGTTTCTTTTTTGTTCTTTTGAGGACAACATATGAAGATATTTATTAACTTCTTGAAGTCATAAAATGTAATTGATTGTAAGAACTTTAATATTTTTTAATGATAGCTTTCAATAAAGAGTGTGTTTGCACTGGCGCATGTATTTGTACATGTGTGTGTGTTTGTGTCCACCTGAATGCCACAGCATAGACATGGAGGTCATAGGACATCTTTGTCACAGGTCCGTTCTTTCCTCCCACCTTGTTTGTAAGGCAGCATCTGTCTTGTTCTGCTGGTGCCCTACGTGATTGCCTGATGCTCGTGATCCACCTCCCATCTTACTAAAATTACGTCTTGATGAAATTACAAATGCCTGCCACTGGGTACAGTTTTATATGTGAGTTCCAGAGATTGAACCCAGGCTTCCAGATTGTGTGGCAAGTGCTTTTACTTGCTAAGACTTCTCTTTAGACTTTCACAAGATTTTGATTTAAGAAATGTATAGGGAATTTGTGGTAAAAGATTGACTGCCATATATCCAGCACAATAGTACCCTTGCTAATACCAGGACCCTGGCTTTTGAGTGTTTGCAACAGCAGACTCGCTGAAGCTGTTTCTCATTGCAGCATTTTAACAGAGCATTAGGTGTTTCCTTACTCCTGAGTCCTTAATTACTTTTCATCCATAAAAATAAGGGCATCTTCTTACTTATGAACTCTATTTTTAGCTATCAAATTGCCATGGATCGGCTCAGGGGAGTCACTCAGACCGTGGGAGAAGCAGGGTCTTGGTACACAGGAAGGCACGAGGTCAGCAATGACAGACAGACACAACACACAAGAGAGTGGGGGGTTGGTGTCTAGCAAGCCTATCCATAAAGTTCAAGGTATAATATAAAACTCTTTGTCCATTAACATTAACCCATCTATTCCCTTACTCATCATGACAAAGGTTCTGCTGTCGTCTTATACATTCCCATACTGTGCTTCCCTATCCCAGAGCTGTTCCTGAAGAGATAATCCTTGTCTTGTATAAATAAAGACTGTCATTCTTATAAAAGAGATTGTGCAAAGCCCATATTCCGCTTAGCCAGATAATCGAGAAATCAGCCTATGCCTCAAGGGAGGCCAATACCGGACCATCTGCCATTGACCTCCAGGAAGCCTAGTTCCATAGGACACGTAGCTCCCGTCTGGCATAATGACATATGTCATGTCACAGAGACAATACTGGAGTTGGTGTGGCATCAAATGAACAATTCCTTTATATCCTCAGCCTTGCCCTAACCACACTTATCCACATTCCGCAAGCATCCTTTGTTGTATGTAATCAGGAGGGCTTTACATGGTTTTGGTTATCATGTTTGGAGAGGATTGTTCCCTAGTTCTGTGTCCCCATAATTCTTGCTTTTCCCTCTCACCTTACACATGGCATTGACTGGTACAAAGACTGTGACAGTTTGACCTGTAGACTATATGACCTCTTGAATTTGTTTAGAAGGATGAGGCCTTAATTCTGTGATGCTGTACAGTTGAATAATGTCAATTCATGAAGTCTTAAGGAAGTTGAAAAGGCCCTAGTATGGAAATATGAAAGTTTTGGTAAAAAGTAGTGTGTGTACCTATATCTCTGTGTGCCTGTCTATAAATGTGTGTGTGTGTATCTTTTTGTATATAGGTCTATGCATGGGTATATTTGTGTGTGAATGTGTGTTGGAAGGGTGTTGAATGACTACTAAATTTCTATAGATACTTCATCTTCTCCTGCTCATCTTATTGCTCAAGACAAAGAATTCACTGCACCAGCTTTTGAGTATGATGACTAATTACCCTAGAATATATGACTTGATAAAGAACAAACAGTAACTGTCATTATCTTGGGCTTCAAGTCACGTCTGTCCTGAGCCTCTTTCTACTCACTCAGAAAATAAAAAGAGCTTCTTCTCCTAGGTGCACATTTTTTTTCTCCTCATGATAATGATATAACAACATCTTTTATTGCTAGAATAAGCTCGTTCACCAAATGACAATGACTGTTGGATGTTCTTGATGATAATGATGATCATTGTTGCTTTAGCCTAGATCTAAAGAGCTCAGGAAAAGGACCAGTATAGCCATGGAGCTGGTCACCGAGCATCCCATTTTGTTCTTGGATGACCCCACCACTGGCTTAGATTGGAGCACTGCTACTGATGTCATCTCGGTCCTGAGAAGGTAAGTGCTGAAGGAACATTAAGTTTTATTCACTTAATACCTGACCACATGTGTATATTTTTGGTGCAAGAGATTCATATGTAAGCAACAGAATTTCGTCCTCATTTATTAGAGGACAACTTCAGTTAGCAAGGATTACACATCAAGATCAATGAGACAAGAGCTTAGGAAAAGACAGCTGTGGTGAAGGTGGAGACTGCTTTAAACAGCATGGCCCCATAGCACTCAAGCCAGTGTCAAGAGAGCCGAGTGGGTGAGATCCGAACAGAGTGTTGTATGGAGGGTAAATGCATTTGTTCTGAGGCAGAGCATGTTTGGTGTGTCTGGAGCATTAAAGAGACCCTGTTGACTAGAACCCAGTGGATCGAGGGGTTGGAAAATTGCTAGTGCACTGCTAAAGATGCCGCAGACTGGGTGACTTGACAGAAGTTACATTTCTTTCAGTTCTGGATCCTGGAAGTCAGATATTAAGGTGTCTATAGCCTGTGTCTGCTGAGGCCTGGGTCACCGAGTTGTGGACGGTGTCTCTTCCCTCTTTGTGTGTCTATGCTGTGATCTCTTTAATGGAAAACAGTTACCTTAGGACACACTAGTAATTTCATTGAAACTTAATTACCTTTTTAAATGCTCTGTCTCTATTATATCAACATTTTAAGTTCTTAGCTGTGAAGTCTTCAACAAATGATCCTTTGGAAGGACTGAATTCTGCCCTCCACATTCCTAGTTGAAGTGAGGAGGTTGGTTATGTTGGATGTAGATTGCCTAGACTACCTGGACCACTGTAAGGTCTAAGGTTTTCCATGGCAGGGGATGTGGGAAAGCTTCTGAGCAATGCATCATGGAGAAGGTTGTGCAGGTGCACTATGGGCATGTCAAATGTCAGCAGGAGGCTGAGATGTGGGGTCTTCTTTGCTAGCAAATGGTGCGTTCTGGGTGTGTTTTGAAGATAGAATAAACAGAATTAGCTCAGGGATTGGCCCTGGATGTGACGGCTGAGGGAGTGATTCCCAAGATCTGGACCCTGAACCTGGGAAGAATAATATAAAAGAAGAGACATTTCCTTCTGTCATTAAATAAGTCTATAGCTGAAATGTTTATATTAAAAGTGTAAGGGTTAGGATTTTTAATTTTAAGATATAATAAGAGTTTCAAACTGATCGAATAACCCCTAGAAATAGATGAGAACTTTCCCATTCCCATGACATAGGCTCCTGGTTATAGAAATTACTTCACTGTCTGTCTTTCCTTCCTTTCCTTTGTTCTTTGTTTTGTTCTGACTCCATGGTCCTTCAGTCTAAACACTCCTGACTGTACCTCCAAGAACCAAGATCCCTACCTCCTGTCCCTTCCCAGTGAGGATGTCAACAACTGGGGCCTTGCCACCTTCAATCCTATAGACTCTTCAGGTGTAACACCTTCCCTGTCTGTCCCTTTTCTGTCTGATTCAGGATATTCTCTATATTCTCTAAGATTAACGTCTTGCTCATGTTCAATCACGGAACACTCTCTCTGTCCCTGTGTCTTATGGCATGTCAAGGGGTCATCATAAGTGTGATTTCTCCCATGTCTGGGAGCAGACTTAGGCCCTGATATACTGTGTTCCCCTTGGTCCCCAACCCTCCTGGAAGTGCATCCTCCATGGCAGGAATATTTTATAAAATTCACACTATTTAGTGTGTGTGTGTGTGTGTGTGTGTGTGTGTGTGTGTGTGCTATGTCTATATGTGTATACAATGAAGAGGTTAGAGGAAAACCTGAGGGACTTGACTTTCTCCTTCCATCAAGTGGTTTCTGGGAATTAAACTCTAGACTTGACATCAAGTGCCTTTACCCACTGATCCATCTCACTTCCCTGGCTTGGATCTTGATCATCTATTTATGCTAGTAGTTGATGGGTTATATCAAATGAAATTATAATTTTCCCTTTTGTGACTATTAATAGTGTGACAGGGAAACAATAGGCTGTGGAATCATTATTCTGCTTCTGATCTCATCTCTACTGCCCAGTGTAGTGAGAATCAGTAACTTCTGCTCTTGTTTTAAGTACAAGCTGACATGACATTCTGTGTGGAAAGACATCTCTCCCCAGTTCCTACTTTGTACAGTGGCCTGTAATATGTTTTTCTTCATTATTTTAAGTATTAAATCTACCCAGTTTGGCTGGTGGAATTCCCTTTACAGTAAGGCTTTTTATGTTTTTATTTATAGTTGAGGAATTACATATAATATTTTTCAGTCTTTGCCACATCCACGGCTGTCACGCCGGTGTAGCAGAAATGCTGACTGGACGGACTGAGGCTGGAGGATTGGGGTTCATGCTCCATGGAGTTTATGTCCTGGGCTGTTCCCTGGCAATCAGCTGTGGTCCTGATGCCACCTGAATTGCCATCTGCACTGACTCGACCCTCACTGTCACTGGCACCGCTGAAGCTGTTTCTTTCTTATTCTTTTGTTCTATTCTCGTATTTTGCCAACAGACCATGCTGTTCCAATGAATGAAACTGCTGAAAGCCTTTAAAGAAGTAGCTAGTTCTGGAAATTGGGGGTCATCATTAGGATAATTCCTTAATGATGTGGAGCAGAAGGAGTTAGTCTTACTGGGAGAAATCTTAGAAGCCTTCTGCAGAAAAACAGTCACAGCAGCCCCCACTAGGCATCTGCCTGGGAAGACACGTACAGCTGCAATTAGAAAGCAGATGGTGGACGCCCCCACGCTGACCCCAAAGTCTGGTAATTACCTTGATCCATTCCCATACACAGAAAGCCTATAAGGTCTTTCCTGTGGGCAGAAGAGGCCTAAACTGATAACAACATCCGAGCCTGGGAATCAGGAAGAGAGTTGAGATCAATGGTGTGAAACAAGTCTCAGAGAAGTGTGAGATCATGTCTTTGAGCAACAACCACAACTAACATTTAGAATAGACAATGGACACATAAATTTGCTATTCTTGTTAAATGACAGTGCTGTTCCTTTTCTTTGTTTCTATTCTATGATCGGATGACGTATGCCTTTGCCAAGTTCCTTGATTGTAAAAGTATAAAAGCCTTACGCTAATTAAAGTGAAGCTACAGCAACATATTCAACTACATTGAGTGTGTTTGCTTGTCATTTCCTTCGCCGTATTCTGAAATCTCCTGTCCCTTCGTCCTGTTTTCCCTCTGTCTGAGTGTCTCCACAAGAGACGGTCCGTAGCAAGTCTTATTCTTTCTTTTGATAAGTATTCATATATCTAAAAAATAAAATTTTAAAACTAAATTTCTTGACAAGAACTCAAGAAATGAATTAAAAGTTAAGAGCACTGGCTGCTCTTCCAGAGGACTCAGGTAACCTTTCCAGCATCCACATGGCAGCTCACACCCATCTGTACCTGCAGTTCTAGGAGATCTAATGCAGTCTTCCCACATCCACAGGCACCAGAGACACATGGTAACAGACATACACTCACGGCAATACACGCTGTAAAACAAATAAATAATTTTTAAAGAAATGGCCGACTGTATGAGGATACAGTGACGCCTCAGTATATGCTCATGAGACACTTGTCTTGAGGTTTCAGTTTGTCACTTTACTCCGTAACCCAGGCTGATCTCACTTTCTTGCCTCTGCCTTCTAAGCTGGAGCTCAAGGTGTGCACTGCACTTCACAGCTTTCTCATTCTCGTTTCATTTCTCCCTCCCCCTCCCCATCCTCTTTCTCTCCTTTCCTCCCTCCAACTGCCCCTTTCTTCCTTCCTCCCTTCCTCTCTTATTCCCTCCTTCTCTCCCTCCTAACCCCTCTCTTTATTTAATTCTTTCTGGTTGTCCTTTTTAAACAGAGTCTCATGTAACCTAGTTGAACCTTGAATAATGGATCCTTCCAAGTGCTGGGGTATTACAGATATGCTAGCATAACAACTTCATAGAAGTTTTAAACACCGTGTTTGGTTGTTGGTTCTCCTTGCAGAAGATATGACTTCATGAGATGGTAGTTCAACATATTTTTCTGGTCATGCAATTCAACCAATGATGAAATCCCAATTTTCCCCCTAATTAACTGACTTCTTGTTCCATTGTTCCACCTTTTAAGCCTATGAATACAAAGCAGAAATTTTATTGAATTGACTCATGCTGATATTATGAAAACTGAACCAAGATTATGGCGGAAGTGTTTAGTGGGAGAGCAAGTGGTTAGGAATGTGAGTCACATCATCGGAACAGTGAGCACCAAATCCTGAAGAGACAGAAAGTGTGAACGATTGAGGGGAATTGTGCATACAGTCACAGCTGTAATGTTTGCTCAGTCGTTGCTTCTCAAGCTTGAGTGAACCTGTCAATCACTAGGGCTGCCTGCTCATAATATGGATTCCTTGCACTGACTTCCAGATATTCTGATTCAGTGTCTAGAAGACTGTCCAGGGATCTATGTAGCAACATTTGAGTGGACCCTGCACTACTGACACCCACATGTTAGAAGTCCTACACTCTACATAAAAACTTTAGCTTAGTTTCTCTATCAGGTGTATAATACAAGTGAGTTGAGGTGTTTTTAAGGAAAATTAAGCTGAAATGGGAACAAAATATCATTTCAGGAATAAAATATTTTGTCAAGAATTTCAAGATTCTGATGTCCAGTGACTGATGAGTTTTCCATCTTTGAACTTAGGATCTCTATGAGGGGACGGACAATCATCTTCTCCATTAGTCAGACCCAATTTTCCAACTTCATATTTTTTGACAGCCTCACCTTAGTGGGCTCAGGAAAAGTCATATATCACGGGCCTGCGTGGGATGCTTCGCAGTATTTCAAATTCGCAGGTATGGCTGGCTTTTGCTGTGAGAGTTCCTTCATTCATGGGATCTGGGGAGAGAACAGGGATTCTCAGGAATGCTGCTTGGCCCTCGTGTAGACCTACTGTATGGGGGTTTCTCCATTTTAAATAACTTTGGTAAATTTGGTGACAGGGTTCTGTTGCTTGTGCAGCGCAGGCTTGCTGTGCAGGTCTCTTTCTTTCTCCTGTCCTGTATGCATTTCTGTGTACAGGATTTTTACTGAGCCTCTTGTTCTGCTTTCCAGTAGTGGTGACCCTCTTAATTTACATACTGGGCTCAGGCCCTGTTTTCCATCATTTGAAGAGCATTGGAAAGGCCCAGCATCATGTTCATGTTCACATAATAGATGGTGATTTTCAGTTTTCCCTAGTGTGACCTGACTCTGAGGAGCTGTGAAAACTTTACTTAACTTAGTAGTAACTTTGCATTTCAGGTTTAGGCAATGCTTGAGGGCTGTAATGGCTCATGTCTGGTTTCTGTGGACTCAACTTTGTCTCTTCCTGTTTTTTTCAGAGTTATATTTCACGATGAAATATTTTTTAATGGTTCATGCCTTCAGTTTTATCTTTGAGAAATATGAGTATAGTTAAGGATGATGCTCTTTGACTACACATATAGGTTTAAATATTTATTTTCTCTCACTCTTTATTTGTTTTTGATTAATATTTGTCATTTAAAAATGTGTAAGCATTGTGATTCTTTGGAATTCAATAAAAATGTAGGCCAAATTCAAATGACTACATTATAAGAAGAGTTCATATATGTGTATGTAATATGTCCATAAATATAAACGGATATTCTTAAATGTGCATATATGTATATATGTGTATATATATTATACTGGGAAGAAGATATTGTTGAACTATTATGAGTGCATATATAATAGGAAAGGATAAGTTAGTGAGGGAGGGGCAAGAAGAGGAAAATTTCCTTACATTTCTTCTTCCCTCTGCCTTTTTGCTCTCTGAAAGAGAGTTTTTATGTTTGTATTCTTGTCATACCTTTGTAGATCTGCACTCTGCAGTCTTCTTCATGAACATCATTGATGGAGGTTTCCTTACTCTATTAGATATAGAGGAAGACGGCCATGATGGTACGTGAGTCTTCCAGGGTCATACATTTTGCCTAACTGATTTCATTAAAACACAACTTTGTGGTTCATTGGAATACAGCTTTTTATGTTAATTCAGTGTCCTCAAATTAGTTCATAGACTTTTCTGTCTGTTAGTGCTGGGTGATTTTTTTAAATTTAATTTATTAATGACTATTTCTATGATATTGTCAGTTGTAAAAAAATTGTATAAGAAAGCAAATGTTTTTTGTTCATCATATTATTCTTGTTATTATTTTAGATTTGGCTTTCTTATGTAGCCAGACTGGGCTTAAATGTGTGCTCTTTTTACCTCCCTACCCAAGTGTGGGTATTACAGGGCTATCTCACCATGCCTGGCTATGTTTATAATATTAAAAAAAAGATACTTGACAATTTATACATTTAAATGTACATTCACACGTGGCAGAAGGCAGGGATAAAACTTTCATATTAAAGTGTATAGATCCATATGGGAAGGAGAACTTTGTTAAAAATTGGGATCCATATGGGAAATGGTGGATCAGATTGCTATATCCTTGGGGTAATGATAGTAGTCAGGCCAGTTAGGGACACTTTTCTAATCTATAAATGAATTAACTCAAGAGTATTATTTTATGCTCAAAGTTTGGTGGGCTTAAGACGGAGCTCAGCTGGTAGACTACTTGCCTAGCATGCACAAAGCCAGAGTTTGGTTCCTAGCAGCACATGACTGGGTGTGAAGGTGCATACCTGTAATCTCAGCACTTGAGACTGAAGTAGGAGGACCTGGAGAAGTTAAAGGTCACCCTTGGCTTCAGAGCAACTTAGACAGTTTCTCTTTGTGACAGTCTAGGGTGCATGAGACTGTCACAAAGAAAAACTGATACATAATTTATGTTCTTCATGAAAAGTGTCTCAGCAAAACATGTTAAATTATAGTCTAACTTTTTCTTACCTTTATCCATTTTTATCCCAAAGCCAATAAACATAATAAGCTTTCTGAGAGACAGCACCAACTCACAGAAAAATTAGCCAATAAGTATGTCCAGTCCTCCATATACAGCAAAATGAGAACTGAACTGGATCCACTCTTGGGAGAACAGAAGGCAGGGAGGAGCTCAGCCTTGGAGGAGATCACCTGTGCCACCCCTTTCTGGCATCAGCTCTGGTGGATTATCTGTCGTTCATTTACAAACTTCAAGGTTTTTCCACGGATCACTGTAATTTGGGTAATTGATGAATTATTTTAATTGTTAAACTCATGTGGGAGCTATTTGTTTCTGAGTCAGTCTACTTCAGGGCCACACTTGTCTTCTGCTCCTTTCCACGTAATTGACATCTCCACTCTACCTGGCACAGAGAAATATTCAATAAAGCAAGTAGACCACTATTAAGTTTTTACTTATGGAAAACATTTTTAGTGGTTGTTTTTTTATTAACAGGAACTGTAATGACTAATCCAAGTAGAAACCTTAATTCAAGGAATGAAAACAAGAAACTCAGCACACCTTGGAGTTCCTCACACCTGTCTGCTTTATTTCATGAGTGCATCCTACAAGTTCAAAGTTCAGGAATGAGTCAAGGAGAAAAAGACTTTTTTTTCTGATGTAGTGTTTTTTGTGAGGGGATGGATGGTAACTGGATAAACAGATAAAACTGTAGCCTGTCAGACGAGAGAATGGACTTGGAGAAGGTTTAAGTAGAGAAGGGTGGAGATGACTGGAGAGGGAAAGGACGGTTGGTCTGGGGTTGAAATCATGTGGTGAGGAGACAGGGCCATAAAACAGCTCTGAGGGAGCCTGAGCATCCACTGCCTGAGATGAGCCCGCTGCAGAGTGCTGTTCCCTCATCAGGAGTCCAGTGTGTGAAAGCAGCAGCTACTCAAAGAGTGCAGCTCACACACACACACAGTAACTGGATGAGCAATGCTCTTCCCTGTCAACAAACTGGAATGGGGAGGAGATGAAGTTCTGCTTTTCTTCTTTTTTAAAAAAAATATTTTTATGGTTTATTTAACTTTATTTTATGTGCATTTTTGTGAAAGTGTCAGATCCCCTACAACTGGATCTTCAGACAGTTGTGAGCTGCCATGTGGATGCTGGGAATTGAACCTGGGTCCTCTGGAAGAGCAGTCAGTACTCTTAACCACGGAGCCATATCTGCAGCCCGAGTTCTGCTTTTCTTTAAACTGACTCTGTAACAAGGGTCATCATTCCTTAAGATTTTCTGTTACTTTAACCTCAATGTCACATAGAAATGTGGTTCTTCCAGCTCATTGAACCATTCATTTATGCAGTTATCTTTTATTTCATGATGATGATGATTCTGTTGCTGTATTAGCATTTTATCCTGTTCATCTTGGGGCTGTAGCAATTAGAGGGCAATCACTCTACCGAGGACCTACATCCCTATCCCGCCCATCCAGAACTTGTTCACATCCAACTAGAACTTACAGTCATTTCTGCTCTAGTGCGTTGTCATTTCATTCTCAGTATTTAGTTTCTGTTGAATATTGAAAGGTTGTGTGTTGTTGACTGTAATGAAACATCACTTACTTCTTAATATGTGAGCTGTCCTTTTCATATTTCAATGTTGCTTCCTTCCCTGTGTGTATGTGAATATGCTGATCATTTGATTTATACTGGTCTTTGGCTTTTACTTGAGGACTTATGTAATAAAAAAGACATTTTTATGTCCATTCTTTTTGTAATAAAAAACATTTAATATGATTGGAAAACAGCGAGTTACATTCATCAAATTGGGTTACTTTTTGTTAAACAGTGAGGCAATAATGATGAGGTAAGAAGTGTTTGCGTGTGTGTGTGTGTGTGCATGTGAACACATACACATGCTAAAAACTGACAACTAATTTTTATGGTTAGTTGTTTTTATATTTTTTAAGTATGGGTGTTTTGCCTGCATGTATAAATTGTCATCGTGTGCATAGCCATGGAGGCCAGAAGATGGCATCAGATCCTCTGGAACTGTACTTACAGAAAGTGGGTAGGGGCCACTTGGGTGCTGGGAACTGAATCCCAGATCCTCTGCAAGAACAGCAAGTGCTCTTAACTGTTGAACCTTATCTGAAATTTTCAATTCTGATTTGTCAAGTTACATGGTAGGATGCTTTCCCTGATATCGTAATATTCTAATTTTAAAACATTATCCAAGGAATAATAGTTAGAATCTTTCAAATAAGTTGCAACATCATGTAGGCTTACTCCTTTGCTAAGTGAAGCACCTTTTAAAGTCATTTTAATCCAAAATCAAAGCAGTACAGGCTCCTTGTGATGGTCGGCACAGATTGGGTAAATGAAGGGAGATGGGAATCTGGAGGAGCTGGCAGCGTAGATGAGATTTGAGCCCTGGCTGATCTTATCGAGATTGATGGAGCAGTGACAGAGATGATGGGCAATGGGAGACTGGGGTGACCCAGAGGACGCTGTATGATCACTTTGGTGACAGCAATAGTGCTGGTTCCCACACAGCACAGACTTCCCTGAGGTGACATAGGTGAGGATCAGCTCACCCCTTCTTAGTACACAAAATCCCATTGCTAGGACTGTGTTGTGAATCATTTTTAATTTCATTATTTGGTTTGCACTTGAGGGGATTAGCATTACTGTGTGTTGTGAGGGCTCTGCCACTGAGCTGTCCCCTGGCCTGGGTGCTCTTGTTTCTAACTATAAGAGTAAAGAAAGCCTGTATTCCCTTGAGCCACTTGAAGTAGAAACCTGCACATGTTCGATGACACCAGAGCTGAGACCTCAGTTTAGTGACTTTCTGTCACTTACTTGGGTTTGTTCGCAGAGTTCCCCAGGTGTCTGCATTCTCTGCCACCCTGTGTCATCCAGGTTTTAGTTCCTGAACTGAGCTCTTCACTTTCCATTCCTGCTAGAGCACTGGGATAAATCTTTGCTTTTCCACGGTCTGCACTGTTCGAGTCTCAGATTGCAGAGACCTTCATAGTCAGTCTGACATATCAGCATACAATTGACATGTGTGCTGTATATTCTTACAGGGACTCTGGCTATAATATAGTGTTTATATCACTGGAGACATCTGATTAGTAAACTATTTTCCAAAATAATGAACAATGTGAAGAATACTTTTTACTCCTATTTGAAAATTTTCTTTTCCCTGTTTTCTTTTTGAAAGGCATTTATCACAGTAATACTGGCAGTGTCTTTGGGTGTTGCTTTCCGTGTCCTAAGAAATGACTGTATTGAAGTCCAGACCAGGTAAGCAAAGGAGAAAATGCCGTGACTTTGTTCAAGCTTATATAAATCCATGAAGAATTTGAATTTATGACAAGAACAGAGTAAACATTTTACCATGTGATAGAGTTTGTTTGAAGGCTGAGTGGAAGAACTCACTTTTTCACGTATGTTTGTGTGTAGATAGTATGAAACTCTGCACACCACACCTATTTTGCCTGTTTTAGTGGATGGAGTCAAGCTGCTGAGGGTGCAAGAATATCTCTTTGAGCCCTGGACTTTTGCTCTTTAAGGTTGAAAGCTAGAGCTGTCCAATCACAGCCCATTGTGTTAACTGTTTGAGGAGCTGCTGTCCTGTCTCCAGCTCCACTGTCCTATTTTATATCCTCATCAGCACAACACAAGGGCTCCAGTATGTGCACATGCTCACCCAGACTTAGGTTCTTTCTTGTTTAGAATAAGCTATCTAAGAAAATGAAATCACGACTCTTTGGATGTCTTATGAAGTGTTTCTGTCTCTGTGCTTCCCCCATCTCAACCATCTTGTACCCTCTAGTTCTTCTCCTCTAACTCCTTGTTTCCTCCTCCTTCCCTTCTGCCTCCCCCTACACACAGCCATGCTGCCGATTTTCTCAGGAGATCTTGTCTCCCAATTTTCCCTTCCCAGGGGGATCTATATACATTTCCCTTAGAGATCTCCTTGCTACTTAGCTTCTTAAGGACTATGGGCTCCTTCTCCTTTGCTTTAAAGCTAGTATTCACTTATGAGTGGGTACATACAATGCTCATCTTTCTGAGTCTGGGTTACCTCCCTCAGGATGGTTTCTTTTAGTTCCACCCATCTGCATGCAAATTTCAAGATGTCATTAGTTTTTACTGCTGAGTAGTACTCCATTGTGTAAATGTACCACATTTTCTTTACCCATTCTTTGGTTGTGGGGCATCTAGATTAATTCCAGGTTTGCTAGAATTGTATTTAGCTATTATAAATAATACTGCTAAAAGCATAGTTGAACAAGTGTTCTTGTAGTATGGTTGAACATCCTTTGGCGGCAAAAAAAAATACTCAATAAAATACTGACAAATCAAATCCCCCCATAAAATCATTTATCATGATCAAATTGGTTTCATTCCAGAGATGCTGGGATGATTTAATGTACAAAAATCTATCAATGTAATCAACTATATAAGTAAACTGAAAGAAAACTCCATATGATCATCTCATTAGATGCTGAAAAAGAATGTGACAAAATCCAACATCCTTTCATGATAAAGGTTTTGGAGAGATCAGGGATAAAAGGAGCTTATCTAAACACAATAAAAACAATACATAGCGAGCAATATCATTGACACCCAATATCGATATTAAATTAAATTTGAGAAAATCAAAGCGATTTCATCAAAATCAGGAACAAGACAAAGCTGTCCCCTATCTCCATATCTAATCAACATAATTCTTGAAGTTCTAGCTAGAGTAGTAAGACAACAAAAGGAGATCAAGGGGATAGAAATTGGAAAGGAAGAAGTCAAACTTTCGATATTCACAGACAATATGATAGAATATATAAGTGAAGCCCAAAATTCTACCAGGGAACTCCTACAGCTGATAAACACCTTCAGCAATGTGATAGGATGCAATATCAACTAAAAAAAATCAATAGCCCTCTGATATACAAATGATCAAGAAGTTGAGAAAGAAATCAGAGAAACATCACCAATCACAGTAGCCACAGAGAACATAAAGTATCATGGGATAACACTAATTAAACAAGTGAAAGACCTGTTTGACAAGTACTTTTAGTCTTTGAAGAAAGAGATTGGAGAAGACATCAGAAAATGGAAGGATCTCCCATGCTCTTGGACAGGTAGGATCAACATAATAAAAATGACAATTCTACCAAAAGCTACCTACAGGTTCAATGCAATCCCCATCAAAATCCCAACACAATTCTTCACAGACCCTGAAAGAACAATACTCATCTTCAAATGGAAAAACAAAAAAACCCAGGATAGCCAAACAATCCTGTACAATAAAGGAACTTCTGGAGGCATCACCATCCCTGACTTCAAGCTCTATTATATAGCTACAGTAATGAAAACAGCTTGATATTGGCATAAAAACAAACAGATTGACCAATGGAATCAAATTGAAGACCCAGATGCTAATCCACACACCTATGAATACCTGATTTTTGACAAAGAAGCCAAATTACACAGTGGAAAAGAAATCATTTTAAACTTTTTAATGACTACAGCATGTTCCAAACATAGTTTCTGATCAGGATCACAATTTTTAAAATTTTCATTGTAATTAATGTGTGACATACCACTGTTTATTCAACTGGGCTCCCTTCTTGACACCCACAGCCTCAGGGTACCTCCCAATGGCCAGAGAGGCTTACCATGGATGCTCTGCTTTCTTGGTGTTTGTGTGTGTGCCTGTTTGCAGTGTTGTGTATTATATGCATAGTTTTGTGTCAGGTTTATGTTTATGCGGGTGTATACAAATGTGCATGTTGGTGAGTATGCATGTGTCTGCATGTGGAGGTCAGAGGTTGATGCCATGTTTTCCTTGATGTCCCTCCACTTCCCTTATCAATGTAGGTCCCTCACCACATCCAGAGCTCATTGACTTGACTGGGCTGACCAATGAGCTCCAAGTGTCCACCTTTGTACTCTTTAGTCTGTGGTTACACATAAGTGCTGTGCCTGGAGACTTTTCCATGTGTTCTGGATATTTGAACTCAGGGCCTCATGGCTGCATGGCAGACACTTTGCTGAATGGGCCAACTTCTCAGCCCCATAAAATGTTTTAATGTGTGAAAAACACCTATTGATTTTGAAGAAAAGAATAAGCATAAAAATGAGTTCTTCTATGAACTATCTTCTGTGTGAACTAGAAGTTAGTCTGCAGTGAGATGTCTGGTTCAACTGTTTCCAGTCTGTTTTCTTCACCTTCCCTGAAGATCAAGATCTGAGTGCTTTCCAGACCTGCTATTACCTGGTTTGTGCCTGTGTAGATGGCGCATCTTAACCCAGAACAGGACAGACAAGATAGACGGTGTAGACACTGTCACAGGAAGCATTCAGATATGACCTCTGAAGAACTTGACCTGGAAATATTCTTGGACAATGCAGGCACAAAAAAGAGCTTTATTAACTGTTCCTTCATATTCTTTCTAGAAACTGTGAAATGCTCTTAGTTTTTATTTTTTCTATTCCCCTCCTCCAGTATTCTATAAGAAGCTGTGTGACATTGGCCTTTGCGTGTGATTTATCTTAGTCATCCTGATTAGTGATGGATTCTTTTGGTTTGTGTTCCAGTTAGTTTATTGCCAACTTGTTCCAGCCTGAGTCATGTGGGAAGAAGGAATCTTGAATAAGAAATTCGTCTATCAGACTGTCTTGTAAGCAAGTCTGTGGGACATTTTCTTGATTAATACTGGATGTGGGAGGGGCCTGTCCCCCGGGAAGAGTGCCACTTCTGGGCAGGTGATTCTCAGGTGTATAAGCAAGCAGTCTGAGCAAGTCATGAGGAGTAAACCAGTAAGAAGAAATCCTATGTGGTCCCAACTTCCATCCCAGTCTCCCAGATCCTGCTTTGGATTCCTGTCTGACTTTCCTAGGGGGATGGACTACGACTTGCGATGTGCTTGCCAGATCAATGCCATTCTCCCCAAGTCGCTGTTGATGAGGGTATTCACTGCAGCAACACAAACTAACGGCGAATCAATCCCACACCAGTTATGTTTTAAGGGGTTATTTATTTTGGGGGGTAAAACTCACATACACCATAAACTGTCAGTAAGGGAGCCTAGTCGCTGGAGCAGGAGCTGGGAGCAGGAGCCGAGACCAAGCGCCAGAACCAAGAGGCCTGAGCCGAGATCTGTGGCTCTTTTTAAAAGAGAAATATACCATGCCCCAGTGGGCTGGTATTTCAGTGACTATTGGCTGATGGAGCGGAAGGCCCTCCTGCAGCATCGAACCCAATGGGCTCGTGCTTCAGCGACTATTGGCTGAAGCAGTGGAAGATACTCCCGCAGCACCTCCCCCTTTTGTTTAAGTAAGAGAGTTCTAAGCCTACTACGAAATTATATACAGTAAGTACAAACCTACACAATTATATACAATAAGTACAAATATCTTATTCTAATTAGCTAAAGTCTTGTGTAATAAATAACTTGGCCCAGTCATGAAAGGAAAGTAGCTACATTTATCTAGTCTTCAACCCCATAGAAGATCCGAGAAGGGAAATAATGTTACCTGAGTAATTAGGAAGTGCAATCAAAGAACTTCCAAAACATGCAACAAATCACAGAGACAATGTGGCTACCTGGGCAATCACCAAAGACCTGTTTGCAGCATTGAAGCAACCAACTTTGACTAAGGCCTAGAATAACTGACAGATTATTTTTAACAGGCAAGAGATTTTTCAGAACCATCTTACCCTGTCTTGGCAAGATTTAACAGTTCTGTTTATCCATTTCTGGATTTTATCCATTTCCAGATTTTAACAGGCAAGAGATTTTTCAAAACCGTCTTACCCTGTCTTGGCAAGATTTGACAGTTCTGTTTGTCCATTTCCGGGTACCGTGTATTTGTCAGTAGTTGAGGTATGGGCAGTTCCTTACCCAGAGGCCAGTTTTGTCAAGAAGACAAGCTCCAAGTGGAGTGTCTTTGGTGCTCAACAATCTCTCAGGAATAGGTTGGTGTTGCCAGGAATGATTGCGTCTCACTATACAGAACTCTAAGATTAAATTAAATGCCATTTTCTACAGCTCTTCGAAGAGGTTGAAGACTATTTATATATAATCTCTATGTATCTAAAGAACCTGATTAGTCTAACCATAAATATGACAGACATAGATGAATATTGATCTACAATTCTTAACATGTATCTAACTTAAAGACTAAGAGAATAAACAACTGTGCAATAAATGAGGACAATGACCTCCAAATGTAAACAATAAATATCAATACATAAACAATATATGAGTATCTTAATCAGAGGTAGAACTGTACAC